TTATAAAATGTTATTTACAAATGCCAAGAACTCTTGATGCTATTATCTCTACACTTTATACACTAGCAAAACTGTGACTTCAATAAGTAAAAACTGTTTAAATATATTTAAGCTATGAATAAATTTATTTATCACAGTCAAACCTCTATTTAACAAAATCCCATGAAGAGTTTCACTAAATGGAGATTATGAAAAAATATGATTTAAGATGATAATTTTTTTTAATTTTAAATGTAAATGAAATATACATGCAAAATTGCATACATTAATGTATCTGTTAAATCAATGTATGAAAATTACATACATTAAAGTATCCATTCTATCAAAGTTATGTATGAAAATTACATACATTTATTTCTAAAAATAATCAGTTACATTAGTTTGTTTTGATTGTAAGAAAAAATAGTATTTCATGTCATAATACATCTCACATCTTTGTAATGCATGGAAAACATCTTCTGGTTTCCTTTCTTCAAACTGAAAACCAAATAATAAAGTATCAAACACATTTAAAATATCTTCTGGTGAAAATTTTGTATATTAATTTTCCTGGATTGTTGTTCAACTATTTTGCAATACATTGAATTTTATGGTGTAATAACAAAGTTAGATTTTAAAAATTAGTCTCATTCCTTTTGTAACAATATTTAATTGCTAAAGTTTTAAAAAAACAAAATTGGTTATATAGTATTTATTTTAAATAATAACTTATCGACATTCTAGTAGTATAAAACTATCTTTATAATATTATATGTTATAGTTTTTGGTTACATAAATTCAAAAATTGATGCCTTCCTAATGAAACGTCTAATCGTATTTGGCTTTTAAGCATGCAGAGGTTTGGTTAGAACTTCTAAATAGTAGAATGGACTCAAGAAAACTTCCTAAATAGTAGAATTTTTAGTCATTGGTTTTAGTCATTTAATTTTTAGTGATTTAATGATCTGCCTCTTAAGACAGAAGTCAGCAGCAATATTGTGGGTGACTTTACAACTCCTGCTTCTCTTGAGAGAATGTTTCTCAAGAATAAAAATTAAAATCTTCCTCCAGCAGACGAAAAAAAAATATATGTTTACTCTTGTTAAACTCAGTTTGGGGTGTATGTGATTATGGCAAAGCTCACGAGGGCTATCTGCCTAAGAAGAGGGATGCCTTTGTGGAGGACCTTCTAAGGAAAACTGGCTCGTATATACATTACACAAGGGGAAAACCACGAAAAACCCATGCAGCCAGCCCGTTCGCGAGATTCGAACCTCAGACCGAACTACCAGTGTTCAGCGATTTTACCGCTCGGCCGCTGATGGCCCTTGTTGCATTCAGAGAAAATTTTAATAGAGTGAAATATCAAGATATTTTTTTAGTCCATTTTGTAAAAATATCACTGAAGGAGCTAAGGCTCAGGACCTGTTCGAGATTCTTAATACATTCACATCTGAAAATAATATGAATTCGCGTAAGTGCGTTGGTATTTGTACTGATGGGAGCTCGCTCCATGTCTGGTTACTATGCAGGATTACAAGCACTTTTTTGTAAGAACATCATGAAAGAGCTGAACAATACAGTTTTGGAATGACTCAAAACTAGAGACTGGATAAGGACTAAAATTACTTTGCATTTTTCTTCCTTACCTTCTGTTACTATAACACAATCAATCAATTACATTCCACTGATGTTCGAATAGTTGTTGTTTATACCGAGACAAATTATAATGCACGACTGGATGAAGAGATTGTGTACCTGTTTCTCAGTATATTTGTGTACATTATACTCAGACAATATTCTGAGTATAATGTGCAGAAGTTTTGGCATAGTTTCTGCATCTTTCAGGATGTCTTGCTCAGTAAGGAGTGGAATGAATTTTCTAATCTTGTTCTCATCTAATGAAGTTCTTCCAAGATATCAGTTCAAGTTTTTTTTTTTTTAAAAAAAAAAAGGCATATACATAAATACTGAGTACTGAAGTTTCATGTTAATAGTTGCAATGTAATTAACTTTTAGGGGGGGAAGGCTTATTTCTGTGCTAGTGAGATTTAATGGTTGAAATGTCAGAATAACAAATTTAGTTGCATAATTTCTTTTTTATTAATATTTTTTCTTACTCCTTAAAACTTCCTTTATAATATTGTAACATTGCAGTAGTGTTGGTTACATAAATTTAAAAAAAAAAAACATGCCCTTCTGTTGAAATGTCATAACATTTATTAGAAGTTCAAACCTCAACTGCAAAAGTAAAAATGATGAAAGACAAACTTGTGTTCATGTGACGCCAGTGTAAACAATGAAAAACAGTCAAACATAATATGTCCTGTTAAGCTCATTAATAAAAATATATATAAGTTCAAGCAGTTTCACTAATAGTAGAATAAGGTTGTAGACATACCTTATTCTGAAAAAGAATGAAGTGTTGCGAAAAGCACTTCGTAAAAAGAAATACGATAATGAAAATATTATAGAGATTAAAATGAAAAAGACTGATGAGTTCTGAAAAGAACTTTTTTATTATTGTTGTTATTAACACAACGGACAGTAGCTAGCAGATAAAATACGAAATGCTGGCGAGAAATACAGTAGGTTTACCATCACTAGTTGGCGATAGAAAGAAACGACGCATGCGCAGTTCATTTAAACATTTTACTCGTAGGGAGCCGTTTCACGGCCATTCTGAGAAAGAATGTGTATGTTCTTTGTACGTATTCTTTGATTCTGATTTGAGACGCTAGTCTGAGTAAGCGCGCCTTCAGGAAAATGACGACACGCGCAGCAATATGCGCAGATGTTCAGGGAGGAAACTAGCATTTGAGGTAATGATCTGTAAACCGGACCTTAAAGCTACAAACTTTATGCGCATGCGCCGAAAGCGTTTACGCATGCGCGTTTAATGTATTACGCACGGTATAAGCTACGTTAGAATTATCGAAGGCGTTTCGGTTAATGTTGCAGATTGTGCTGTTGCTTGCTCATCTAATTGGATCCGGCGGCTTATTATTTTTTGCAGACGGTTAGAGCAGTTTTGTAAAAAGTAAGCTTGAAGTTTCCATTATGTCAAAAAGAGTTTCTAATTCTGGAGCTGCTAAAGGATCTACAAAGCGAAAGCATGTTTCAATGTCCATCAAACAAAAAGTGGAATTGCTGCAAAAATTGGATAAAGGCATACCTGTCTCAAAATTATGCCAGGAGTATGATATTGGAAAGTCAACTGTATATGACATAATCAAAAAGAAAAAGGAACTTTTTGAATATTTTGTGGATTCTGACACCCCACTTGCAATGACTAACAGAAAAAGGGTTCGTTATGCTAAAAGTGAGGATCATGACAAAGTGATGATTGAATGGGTCAGACAGCGTCGCAGGGAGGGTGTGCCATTGACGGGTCCAATGGTAATGGCTCAAGCCAAAATATTTCATGAAGAAATGAACTTAAACACTGAGTGCACATATTCGACAGGTTGGTTAACTAAATTTAAAATCGGCATGGTATAAGACAATTAAAAATTTCAGGTGAAAAATCTTCAGTTGATACTGAAGCTGCTGAACAATTTGCAGATGAATTCATTGAATTCATTAGTAGTGAACAGTTATCTCCAGAACAAATTTATAATGCTGATGAAACTGGTCTTTTCTGGCAATATGTACCACGAAAAACCTTGGCAACCTCTACAGAAAAGGCTCCAACTGGTGTCAAAGATTCCGAAGCGAGACTAACAATTTTAGCGTGCTCAAATGCTGCAGGAACACACAAGTGCAAACTTTTCGTAATCGGAAAACATGCACGACCTCGAGCATTTAAAGGAGTAACAATTTTCCCTGTTATATATCGTGCAAATAAAAGAGCATGGATGACACAAGCATTGATGAATGATTGGTTTGAAAATCATTTTATACCCGAGGCTCGGCAACATTTGAATTCGGTTGGCTTACCTGATGACTCAAAAATAGTCCTGATTGTTGACAACTGTTTGGCGCATACTTCACTTAAAGTTTTAGTGAAAGATAATGTATCCATATTATTCTTCCCTCCAAATAGTACGTCTATCATTCAGCCTATGGATATGGGAATAGTGCATGCGCTGAAATGCAAATATAAAGTAGCATTTTTAAAATCTATGGTAAATTTCTTAAACAATGGCAAGAGTATTCAAGACTTTTTGAAATTTTTTAGCATAAAATCTGCTGTGTGGAGCATTGCAAGATCGTGGGAGGATGTGTCTCCAGATACGTTAAAAAATGCTTGGCATAATTTATTGCCAGCTACCATATTTCATGGTGAGGATGATGAAGATGATAGCAGTGAATTTGAAGGTTTTCAGACATTGCAAACTAAAGGTGAAATTTTTGAGTTATTGGATTTTGGAAAGAAATGTGGAGAAGCGGTAATAAATGAAGATGATATAACAGAAGTTTTTCATTGCGACGACAATGCCCCAATCATCAATCAATTAACGGACAGCGAAATCTGTAGTATTGTTCTAGATTCAGAAAATATGGCTTCTGATAGTGAAGAAAGTGACAGAGAGGTTATTGAAAATGAAAAAATTTCGATTGACAAGTTAGTCAGTATTCTCGACACAGCAATTACAGGACTTGAACAGTGGAACTTTGTAACTGAACAAGAAATTATGTCTGTTTATAAAATTAAAGAGAAAATATTATCACATAAAACAAAGCAACTTAAAGAACTTACAGTAAAAGAAATGTTTAATAAAGTAAACAAATAAATATTAAGTTTTTTTTTAAGTTTTGATACCCTTTAGATCATAATTTCTCTTTATTTCATAAATTATGATTTCATATTTTTAATTGTATAATTTCTGCTTGCCATCTTACCAGATTTAAATTGATGATCTATAATCCGGAATCGCCGAAGTTTCAACGAGTCCGGATTATGGACTTTGTACTGTACTAATTTTTTCTGTTGTATTGGAAATGTATATGATAAACTCTGCCTAAGGCATTTTCATTCAACATAATGTTTCTTTTAATTCAGAGTTTTGTTTTTCTAGGAAAGTGAACCCACTGGTAGACCATCTAGAAGAGCTGCTCGTTTGGCTGCAAAGAAGATTTATAACACAGTACACAATTATGGTCTTGGAGAAGTTGATGATTCTGATATTTCTGAAGTAGTTGTACCTCCAAAACCTGTAAGTACCCCACGGTCATATCCAAGACAAAGAGCTAAACCTGTTCAGAATATGAAATTTGCATCTGCTAATATAGACCTTCTGATGGAATGTCATGAAGAATTACTCAGTGCTGCACAAGCTGAAGCTTTACTCAAAGCACAGTTAGAGTACAATATGGTCATGAAAACTCTACGTTCCTTGAAAGCCAATAATGTCAGAATTATTTGTACTCCCTTAGATGAATTTGTTCCAGAGACAGCGGACCAGAATTCTAATCAGTTGAAAAGCAGTGGTTCTGATACTTTGCGTAAATCTCCAAATATTGTAACCCTTGCAGCGTTAAAGAGTGAAAATGTAGGTATTGTACCTATGGAACTGTCATCTGCTTCGCAGTCTCCATCATCAGTTTTTACATAAATCATAAAAAAAACATGAAGCATATTAGTTATAAGTAAGTTACATTTGAATGTTTGTAACTGTTCTGAATTATGTTTTATTTCTAATTATATTTTAATAATTCATTCTTATGTTTATATGTACGGTTAACTCAAAATTTACTGGTAATGATGTCCATGATTAATTCAAAATGACAGTTATTCCAGGGTTAGTAAAAAAAACACACAAGAAAGAGAAATTCTCAAATTATAACTAGCAGAAAAATACTTTTAACAGTTTACCTGTATTTTCAAGGAGTTAAATCAGGAAACTATACTCGTTTGGTTACACAAATGAAATCAATATTCAAAACACTCTTAAGTAATGAAAGAGTAAGCATGTTTAGAAATAAAGTAAGTTACAAATAGCATTGCTGAAGATGAATGAAACAAAAGACTACTGAATACATATTTCCTAGCCATAAAATGTCTTCACAAGAAAATACTTTTGAGCAGTTTTGAAAGTTGAGAAGCCATTGCTAGTGTACAAAACAAAAGATCTCAGGAAATATTATGGAAGTTGAAAACATACAGGCTGAGTTCAGTTATTTTCAATTTGAAATGTAAAAACTTTACCTCTGGCATGTTCCTGCAGAGAGTTTTCTTATGAATTAAGATGTAGATCCTGAACAGGAAATGTAAGATTTTTGATAAACATCTTCAGAATAGATATTCTTTAAAATTCATTTCAAAATAAATTTGTGTAACTGAAATTTTTTATTAAATAACATAGTTTTATTACTAATGACACAATTTATTACTTATATAAGCTAACAAATAATGGAAAGGGTAGGATGCTTTAAATTATGAAATTTTATAATGTATTTTTAAATTTTCAAGATTCTTAATATCTTTTGTCAGTTAGACTGATTGAAGGGTGCCCCTTGTATTATCGCAAAGTTGTTTCATTTATCACCAAGTTGTTGTTTCATTTGTGGTAACCTGAGTAGTTAAATGTTATGGAAACCCTATTATGACGTAATTGATTGCGAGATTCAGTAAATTCTGAATACATTGCTTGTTTTGTGGTTTAGACAGTAGAATGGCTGAATGTGGGTAAGATTAATTTGAAGTTTCTGTACGATTTGAAATGAATAATGAAAAGAGTATTAATTGACTGGTGTGTAAATGAAGGTTTACTTAGTAGTCATTATAAGTGTCTTGTTTGTAGAAAGGAAATGCATATGTTCCAACGTCGGAGAATGTTTCAACTCAAATTTTTGTGAACTTATATGGTGACGCCGATATATGGATTATAATTCAGATAATTTTAGGAAGTTTTTTTGGATGCTGTTAAGAAATTTTGTTTGACTGAAGGCAGAGAAATTTATAAATAATGTGAGATAATATTTCCTTTCTGTAGTGCTAAGATGAATTTCCTTTTTTATGTTATTTCATTGTATGATGTAAAATGTAGTTTATTAAGATTATATATTTTTTGTTGGCTGCTCCTTTGACTTTTTAAGTGAAAATAGGTCGATGTGTATATGGATACCAAGTTTGTGCAATTCTTTGACTTGTTATTTTGGCTTTGTCTAGATTTTTGCCGCTACATAAAGCCACAATTACAAGTCAAAAAAATTGCATGAACTTGGTACCCATGTACCACCAAAAATCCGGGCACCCGTAAATATATTTTTACCTTTTTGTCTTTTTTAAGGTTATTGTTTAATTCAGCCTTTATTAGTCTGGACAGTCATAATCCTCAGTTAGTAATAGAATATTTTATTTCGTCATCTTGTTAATGGTCACTCAATTTAAGGGGAAGAAGTTTGATTTATAAGGATACATATCATCAAAAAAAAAAAAAAAAAAAAAAAAAAGCTGTTTGTTAATCATCTCAAAGCTAAGGATACTGGACAAACAGCAACTTAAGATAGTATTGTTAACCTTCTAACTGCACAATTTTTTTTTTAAATTGCCTCAAAAATTATAATTTTTTTATCTTATAGTTGAAATTTGCATAGCAATTTTTAAATTGTACTCTAATATAGGAAATTTAGTAGACAACCAATCCTATCTGTTGAATAAAACATGATTTAAAGTTTCAATACTGTATTACTGACACTTAAACATTGCTACACCATGATATGCTTTTAACACGGCATTACTCATGCAGGGTATGAGGTATCCACCAACCCAAATTTTTTAATGTTTCTTCCTAACCTTTTTTTGGGAAATGGATGAGTCCTCATATAGCTCAATCTATAACCTTGAAGGAGAGGAAACCTGGGTGTCAAATTCTAAGAATAGTTTTACAGATATCGCCTCAACGGGCGTATTATACACTGTGTGATTATTTGTGTTATAGTTTTGAATATACAAACAAGCTTTCAAATTATTATTCTGATATGGCACATTGTCGTCGTTATGATGAAGAAATGAGACATACAAGAAATTTTAAAGTTTCAGTGAAAATGATGAAGAATATAACAGTAATCATGATTCATCTACTAAAATAAGACTCAGGTATAGAAGAGCAAGATGTGGATTCTGATGAAAATAATTTCACAGGAAGAGATAATAAAACAGTCTGGAAGAAAGAGGTATTCCATCCCTATGTTAGTTTCTGCAAAAAAACATTATAACGAAACTCCCTGGAAGTACATGCATTTCAAAGGATGTCATTTCTCCTTTGGAAGCTTGGTATCTTCTTATCTCTCTGGAGCTAATTCAGATTTTATCCAAACAATAAAAAAACAATTTTCCTGAGAGAGGGATGCAAAAGAGACAAATGAAACTGAAATTTATTGAACAGTTATACATTTGTGGTGTACACAAATCATCCCATGTATATGTAAAAGATTTTGGCCAACAGACGGCACCAGAATAGAAATATTTCGAACTATATCTGCAAACTATTTTAATTCTCTGATGATTAGATGTCTATGCTTTGACGATATTGGAACTCTTCAGAACAGGAAAGATTTGTATTAATTGCCTCCAATACGAGATTTTTTTGAAACATTTGTGGAAAACTGCAGAAAATCATAATAGTATCAGAGAATATGTACTGTAGATGGGAAACTTGAATCGTTTTGAAGGTGATGTCCATTTCTGCAATAATATATGCCCAAAATATGGTAAAAAATTTTCACTTTTGGCAATTCGAGAATGTTTTACACATGGAATGTAAAAGTATGCACTGGTCAACAGTCAAAAGGACAATTTCAAGTGGATAACAATCCAAATTGTACGGTGAAAAGGTTGATTGAATCTCTCTACGATTCAGGGTGTAATTTTACAGTAGATAATTGATATACATTCTATCCACTTTCACATGAACTTCTGAAGAACAAAATAGCTATCACTGGATCCATAAGAAAAAATAAAAGAGAGATTCTTCCAGTATTTTTGAATTATTCTTGCATGTTTGGCTTCCAAAAAAGACAGAACTATTGTTTCATATATAGCCAAGAAAATTATCAATGTTTTTCTTCTTTGAGCTGTGCATAATGGTGAAGCAATAGACGCATCTACAGGAGAATCCCTGAAATAATAAATTTCTATGGTTTATATAAAAGAGCAATTGATATTGTTAACGAAATGCCACTAACGTATTCAATGGCTAGAAAATCTAAATCTTTGGCTGATGAACATTGCTGCAATAAATGCACGAATTATTTTGTTGTATGCTAAGAAACCACCTACTGTACGTCAGATGAGGCAATCATTTTTGAAATATTTGGGATTTCAACTTATGGAAGAATAAAAGAAAAATAGAAGCCAACAAGCAATGCTTCCACAAAACTTAAAAGAAAAACTAGGATCCAATGGAAACATCACACCACCTGCATTGAAGGCCAGAGTAGCATATAAAACATGCACTGTGTGCCCTGATGTTAAAGACAGAAAAGCTAAATTTGTTTACGAAAGGTGTGACAAATATATATGTATGAAACACATGACATGTATTTGCAGAGAATGTGCAAAATAAATGTGGGTGGCATTTTCAACTATTTTACAAATGTACTCTTCTTTTTGTCTTTTCACCTATCTTGAAGAGATTTTATGATAGAAAATATAATGAAACGCCCTGGGGTATGAGATTCCCTGCATGAGTAACACTGTTCATTTTTGTCGTGCAGAGATTGCTGGGTTAATAGGTGTAACAAGCACATGCCCACGAATATTGCAGGATGAGCAAAGTTTTCTCTGCATTTGTGTTGCTCGTGGAAATTGCAGGGTAAGCAGTTAAAGGTATTACAAATAATTTTCGGAAACAGACAGAAGCAACTGAATCTGTTATGTCAATAAGCCAAAATGATGACTAGCATTCTGTAGTCAATAAACTTTGATAAGGACTTTTAAACAGCACTTTCGAACAATATACTTACATGTATGTTAAAAATATATGTATCTGAAGAAGTTTAATGAAGGCAGTGGTTTTATTAAAAATGTGGACATTTTAAGAAATACAGGGGGAGAAAGTTTAGGAAGATCATTTCATTTTTGTCAGATTGCACATCTGCTGTTTTTATGTCCATCTGCCCTATTGTCAGGAATTGAGGTTTATCTTTTTTTTTCTAACAAAAAGAAAAGGCTTGAAATAATCTTGAATACATTTTTTCTTTCATACAAATCTTCGCAGGCAATCGAAACATCTTCCAAAACTCCTTTAAACACATGTATTCTTTCAGAATTAAAGTTATTTTTAATTACAAGTATTGCTTAAAATAAATGCTAAATGCTATTTTCATTTTCTCTATAAAAACCAAAAATCATCTTTAGATTTCTTTTAATGACTGAAAAGGTACTAATAGATGCTTAGCGAGAGGAAAATGATAAATCAAACTGTTATAAAGCTGGAAACACCTACACTCTACATCAAAGCCACTAAAATCTGAATGAACAGTAGTTCTATTAGGTGCCTGTTCATTAAAGATTTTGTATAACTTAGAAGAGAATAATTATTAGAATCCTCTGCAAGTTTAATAGAAACAGCATTAGTTGTAAAAATTGAGTAGTTGATGGCTGGTAAAGAGGTATGCAAGGTCCTTCATTTCCATCTTCTGAAATGCTGTCAATCAGCTTATAGCCCTGTAAGCATTGCTTTCATTGTATATTCCAGTCTAGTCTAAATTATGTGCTGTGAAGACGACCAGTTGCCTTAAAAAGTCTTCCATAAAGGCATCCTTTCCTTAGGCAGATAGTTATTATTTTATTTTTTAAATAGCCATAATTAAATAATTAAATAGCCTAACCAAATTATTTGCTTGAATGGTATATGTTTTTAAAATGGTTTGTTAAATCCTGAGCAAACATAAGCATTATAAAATGATCCTGTGACTTCTTTTTATGTTGTAGGGCAAAAATATGACTGAGTGAATGGTTTATGCTGTATTGACATAGCTATTGATGTTTTATAGTCAACACTGGGATGTTTCAATATACAAGTATAAGGCTTTATGTGACGGGATTTGTTGATGGTGTAATTTTTGTGACCAGTAGATTATGCTGCTTATATATTATAGTAGTATATCTGATACCAGTAGATTATGCTGGTTTGGAGATATCTACAACTTTTAGTCATGCTTCAATACCAACTCGTTTCAATGACAATGCTTCAATACCAATTTTTTGTGATGTAAAATTAAATTTGTATATTAATGTATTTCTTAATATTATTTTTAGGTGTTGGCAAGTGTGATGGCAAGGATTTGACATCCTCCGATGGTGATTAATCTGCAAATGTTTTGTATTTTTACAAATTTTATTGTAAAATTGTGATAATTGTGTCTTACATTACATTGTTAAAGATTGCTAAAATTTAAGATCATATTCCCAAAATATGTTTTTACATTTAGTTTGGTGTTTTGGACTTTGTGGTGCAATTTAGTTTTACTGGATATATAAATTTATTGATAATTATTCTAATTAAATCAAAGAAAAAAATGTTCATATTCTTTGTGAAAATTATATCATAAAATGTAAATTTTAGGGTAACTGTGTGTAAATATATTTAATTTTTTTTTTTCTTTTTATGGACATATTTTTTGTCATATATAATATAAGGGGCATTCAAATGAAAACGAGACAGATGGGAAAAGAAGGTAATTAAACTGTTTTTTATTTCAGAAGTAATAGCCATAACCCTTAATACATGTATCCAACTATGAGATAAGACGGTTCAAGCCGTGATGGAAAAGCGTTTTTGTTTGCTGATGGAACCATGATTGTACCCAGGCAGGCACCTCTTCTTCTGAAGCAAATCAATGGCCACAAATGCCTTTCTTCAAGGCTCCAAAAATATGGAAATCTCAAGGGGATTGATCTGTACTGTATGGAGGATACATAAGCACTTAATAACAAAACACTTCTTCATGGCGCGTTTAATTTTTTGCAGAGATTCCACATACTGGTGCGCGTTAATTGTGGCACCATGTTCCAGAAAGTAAATGAGCTGCAGGCCCTTGCAGTCAAAGAAAAAGGTCAGATGGCTTTCCTGGAGCTGACATGCACGGCTTTTGATTTTTTCGATGGGGGGGAAACCGTGTTCTTCCACTGTTGGCTCTGACACTAACTCTCCAGCTTAAAATGATGTCACCATATTTCATCAATAATACAGACCGTAGACGATATTCTTCAGAATAATACCGTTCCAGGTGCTGTGCTGTGATATCGACATTGTATTCATTTTCTGCTTCTCCATCAGACTGTGGGCAACTCCCTAAACACAGATTTTCCAGAACTTCAGATGATCTGTCAAGTTGGCATGAGTGGTGCCATGACTAATGCCCAACGTGAGCCGAATGGGTTCCGCCATCTGCAGTTGGTCTTCTCTGACAACAGCATCCACCACAGCTGAGGGAGTAATGATGTAATAAGCCTATCTTGGCCGGCTGCTGTTTTTAAATGATACCTGATCTTCTCAATATTGTTTATTCCATTCAAAAGAACCTGCACATGACATACTCTATTCGCCATAGACAACAGACATTCAGACAGGGACAGAGAAAAGTGGATGGAGCAGCAGAACTTCGTCAGTGACTTTTGCAGATATTCCTCTGTTGCACTACTATACGTGCTGGGCATTCGGTAGGCCTGCATCAGAAGCCAACCCAACAAGACATTTACTGAGATACTTTACATTGATCTTAGACTTTCGTATTGAATATATGATTACAATAACACGGTATACAATTATTACAATGAACTAAATCGATTGACAAAAGTTGGATTATGACAAATTAATGTAACATAATTACATCAAACATACATTAGTACATCATACAAACAATGCATTTACATTAGTATATCAAATCACATTTAAAAAAATTTTAAGGAACTAATTATTGTTGAATATTTTGTGCATCTTCTAGTACATAGTCATATTCCTAAGGCAATTATCTTAATACATTTCCTTTCTCTCTCTCTCTCTCTTTCCCCCCCCCCATGTTACAGACAGTTGTAACATTTCTGAAATCTTACATTGTTTTTATGGATTAATATATCATAATTACATCAAGCATACATTAGTACTAGTATTTAATGTACTCAAGTGTAATATGTGTCCTTTCTTTGCAGTGCAGCTCTTTTGTGAGCTGGCACTTGAAAATAAAGTGCTCTGGGTCTTCCTTTTCCCCACATATGCACTTCTCTGAGTTGCTCAAGTTTTGTGCAAAGTAGTACATGGGGAAAGAACCACGTCCAGATAAAAAGATGTTAATAAAGAAGTTATATGAGATTGGATCATGTGTGAGTTTTTTATAGAAGTTAAAAAGTCTTCTACCTACTTCTGCATTTTTCTCATTCAGCTTGGCATTTCTTTAATGTAAATTTTCCCAGCATGTGTTTCACATATGATTTTGGGAATGGGACATTGATCGATGATAGAGATGGGTCTTGAGCTGCATCCTTTGCAAGCGCATCTGCCCTTTCATTTTGGGCTTGTACTGCAGGTGCTTTTACCCACTTTATTTTTATAGATGTCCGATTGTGCTGTGATGTTAAATCATGGATATCTTGTACTATTGATGTTTTTTTTTTTTTTTTTTTTTTTTTTTTTTTTTGCATCATTAACAGCTTTTATTGCTGCTTGGCTATCACTGTAGATGGTAAAATGTCTTTAATGAGCCTATAAAGTAGCTTGTTTTATGGCTGAAAGCTCATCTTGAAAAATGCTGTTGTTGCTTCTTAGGTGTCCCTTCCATTCTGTTGTTTCTTGTTTTGAGACGAGTGCTAAGAACACACATCCTACTTCTTCGTTTATTCTTTATTCTTGACTCATCAGTGTACACTACTGGAAATGTAGGTATACTGAGGGTTTCTTCTTCGGTAGATATTTTAAGTTTGGAATGTACTGCAGGGTGTCTTAGGTAAGGATTTCAAGACTGTTCGAAATCAAGGGTCAAGGGGGTTCTTCCATTCTGTTGTTTCTTGTTTTGAGACGAGTGCTAAGAACACACATCCTATTTCTTTGTTTATTCTTGACCCATCAGTGTACACTACTGGAAATGTAGGTATACTGAGGGTTTCTTCTTCTGTCGATATTCTAAGTTTGGAATGTACTGCAGGGTGTCTTAGGTAAGGATTTCAAGACTGTTCGAAATCAAGGGGGTACAGGTCTTTATCTATGTTTGAACCTCTATGTTTTTCTTGAGATGAAATAATGTGGCTAAGTCTGCATCTTCTTCTACTTTTAGATGGAGGGGTGGGATTCCTGTTAATACACAGAGGGCTGTCGTTGAGGTAGTTCTGTATAATTTGCTATTTGTAAGCGGAAGGGGTGTAGAAACGAAGCTAGGATTCTTTTCTTCCTCACTATCCATGGGGTGAGCCCATGCTGATGCCCCATAAAGCATTATTTTTTTTATCACGGTTTTATAAAGGATGTTTAGCATCCTCGACTGGAGGGCCCACGCTATCCTTGCGAGAGCTCTAGAAATAATCTGAGTTTTCTTTCGAATGTCCATGAGGTGTGGAATCAAAGAAAACTTTTGGTCAGTTTTCAATCAAAGAAATTTTATTTCTTTTAAGATGTTGATTCTTCTGTTATTGATTTTAATGCAAGGGAGCCTTTGTAGCAGTTATCCCGTTTATGGAAATAAGATAATATGTGATTTGGGCTCTGAAATTATTAGTTCTTGATTAATGCAGAGAGAATGGAATATGAAGAAGGTCTCATTGTTATTCTTGTCTAGTATGTCTTTTGAGTGCACATTTGTTACAAAAGCCACGTCATCTGGCTTTGAGACATGATGTGGAATTGAGCTTTGTATGGTCTGGTCAATTGTAAGAGGTGATGTTCCATAGGTCTGCATTTAGACAAGAACCCTGTGAGATATTTGGATATGAATTTCATTTTCTGACACTCCTTTAAACAGTGAAAAAATGGACTACAGCATGCTGTTTCTGTTTCCTGGTTACCATAGTGATGGCGGACGCACACACGGCTTGCTGACCTCATTGAGCACGTCTAACAGACAAATGACACAGCAGTGAGCGTTTACACTGTTCCTTCCTGATTCCCAATAGTGGGCGCTTCCATACACAAGCTTACCTGCTTTGCCAAATTCTACGCCAGGCTCGTTATATAGTCTGTCTCGTTTTCGTTTGACTCCCTCTTATACTTTACAAAATTACAGTAAAAGCTTAAGTATTCAGAAAGCTCTGGAAATGTTATATACTGGTACGTGAAAATTTCATATAGTTGATCATATATAGAATGCAATTCATAGTCAAAGGAATGGAAGGAGAAATCTAAAAATGGCTTTAAAAATAAAAACAGTCATCTGATTTATTATCAACGTGGATATAAAAAAAAATCTAAGCGTAATATTCTGTAAATGTTTTTTTTTTTTTTTTTTTTTTTTTTAATTGCATTTTGAGCATAAAAGGTGGTGTATTTTCTGATTCCTTAAACATATAAAAGCAACATGTTATCTGATTATGAGTATCCACCAAACTTGCACCAATCATTCCAGCTGAAGTTTGAAAGAGCTGCTTGCTCTTTATTTAGTTAGGTAATCAAGAGATACACATTATGAATATAGCATATAAAGAACTTAAATTACATGTCAGAATTTTTCATGTTGCATTATCATTGTGTCATGCTCATTACAATGCATTTTTCTTGTACCAGGCTCTTGGTAATTTTGTAATTACTTCTATTTAGGGCAGGTCCTAAATTTTAAAGTCTCTTGCTTATTCTGGTTGAATGCTGGATAGTGGGGCTTTTATTGTAACTTGTGTTTATTGTTTTGCAGAGTTGGATAACTGCACCAATATAGGCTATTGGCAGTTTATAAATCTTAATTAAATATATTATTCTTATCTTTCCAAACAGTATTCTTTTCAAAGTAAATATTGTCACTAGTCATTAGGATCTTTTTTTTTTTTAAGCAGGAGAAATGAAAAAATGTGCAATTTCCTCGCCAGGACCTCTCGAATACACATCGAGTATGCTTCCGATTACACTACAAAAGCATGCAAAAAGGAGGGAAAATACCTTATAAAGTATTTAAAGTGTATCATTCTATTCCATTGTTTTGCTGAAATTACAAACCAAAGAGATAAATGTTTTTATGTTTATAAAAATGTTACCACAGTCAAAATGAGCTGATGAAAAAAAAAAAAAAAAAAAGTATCACTCAGTTGATATATCAAGTTGACAAATATATTTTTCTAGAGAAATAGAAAATATTCTATTTCTAGATTTTCTCTAGAAAATATAAAAATAGAATTCTATATTTTCTAGAGAAAATGTCTTGGCATGTATAGTTTTATGACAAAAAAGATATGCAGAATCTTTTTATTTGCTCAGTAACTAACAACTTCATATGATAATAGTATAACTAAATGTTTTTAATATTTTAATTGAAAGTTTTGAACTATTTTCAGTGTGTAGGTGAATTGAGTGATTGTGCCATTTAATTTTTTTGGTCATAATGAATTTCTTCTCATTGTAAATAATGTTTTAAATCTGTTTTATTGTTTTGCTTTTATTGTCATTGTCATAATGAATGTAAGTTATAATAAAATGTAGTATAAAATATCATATTTTTATTTATTTTTTTTAATTCTTCTTCCTGTTTTTAAAGCATCAGCTTTTCATATACACCAAATTTAAAATTAATAATTTATGTATACTCTATCTCTCTCTATATATATATACATTGCAATTAAATTTTTATTATAAGCTGTTAATCCATTAATATAGTTAGATTTTCACTAACATAAATAATTTTAATAAAACCCAAAACCACAGTACTGAAGAAATAAGTGCAATATATCCATTAAGTAAATTATTGAGCATCAAGACCCTTTTATTTTATTATCATGCATGCATTTATTTCAAAATAATTATTTTAGTTTTCTGTAAAAATTTTTGCTTTATTTTCACAAGTCGTTTAAATCTTTGCTTTGTATCTTTGAAGTCTTGTGGCATTCCGCTTATCATTTTCACTAATACTAGTCAATTTTAGCTTTAGTTTTAGAGTGCAGTTGGGCTTCATATCTAAAATTAGAAGTGCCAAAGCTATGTGGAAGATCATTAAGAACAGCAAAGAGAAATAAATAAATGACTTATTAATAAAACGAGATAAAGTGTAAAAAGAGTACATAAAAATATTTTATAATTATAAATGAGGGCTAATCATTTTTATTTTTTATTATTTTCAATGGCAGATTATGAACAGTTTTAGCAAAAATACAAGAACATAGAGTACAGCAATACAATGAAGAAAAAAAAACAGCTGCAACAGAGTCCATTAATCTAACATATCTCTTGCCTCCCAGTAACGCTCGACGAGAGAAGTCTTGCGCAGAGCAGGACAGTGGGGTAGATGTGCGGCATCCATCACCTCTCCAGAGCTGCACAGAGTGCATATTGGAGAAGGAATGCTCGGTGCTTGTTCGAGGGGTTTTAATAATTTTGAATCTATGAAGATGATATTGTAGGCAGTCATGTCCGATGGCAAGGCAGAATTCAGCGACCGTTCTACGCCTTGGGCCATTACACAAATTCGGGATAGCATTCTTCCAAGACTTATGAGAAACACGATGATAGAGATCTTCCTGAGCACGTACTTTGATAGATCTTTTAATAAGGTCCCTAACAGTATGGAAAGGCAAAGGGCGATAAATATTCTGCATGATTAAAGCACCCTTTTTTGCCAAGAAGTCGGCTTTCTCGTTACCTGGAATTCCACAGTGGGCAGGAACCCACTGGAGAACAATAGTTTTCTCAAGTGAAGCCAGGTTTTGTAGATAAAGTCGACAATCTAATATGGGATTTTTATCTGAAACGATAGCCAACAGAGCAGCATGGGAATCACTGAGTATAATAGCTCTTGAGAATTTTTCCAAGTGGCATGGTATTTGGTACAGAGCTGTGCGAATCGCAGCAATTTCACCGTCCAACGCAGAACTTTGGCCAACAGGCATGTAGAAAGAGGAAATTTCGGAGAAATCTCCGGCACCTGCATTAGGGCCATCAGACAGGAGGGATCCATCAGTGAAGATCCGAAGCCACTCTGGGTCAGGGTAAAAATTATTTAATACATCGAAAGCGAGGGCTCTCAAATTAGACCGACCCGTATTACGTTTCGTTACTTTTTTACCTAGGTCAAGATTAATCCAGAAAGATTTCAAATTTATTGGATTTGTATTGGAACAAGTAATTCTGGTTCATTCATTAAACCAAGTGAATTTTTTAACTGAAAAACTCTCTGTAGAAAGCCCATCTGGGTCTTTAGATTTGTAGTCAGATCTTGATTGACTTCATTCCAGAGTGAAAGACATCCAGGAACTCTAATGATCTTTTCCCAGAGAATTAAGGCCTTCTCTTGGATTACGGTTCTTAAGAGTTTATCACCAGTTAACATAAATATGGTATTAATCGGGGTGGTCTTCACGGCTTCAAAAACAATACGTAAGCACTGATTTTGAATTTTTTCTAGAGTATAGAGTACATTTTCTATGGCTACAACAAGTGGTTCCCAGCAATAAGTCAGAAGGGGGAGAATAAACGAATGATAAATTTGGAGCAGGGTTTGTCCAGTGCAGCCCCAGCAAGGCGTTTAAGGACACTGAGTCTCTTCGTAGCACGGTTGTACAAGTCCTCAACATGTGGCTTCCATGTTAATTTGCGGTCAAACGTCACACCCAAATATTTAAATTTATCGCACAATGGGATTTGGGTGCCCCCTTATATGTCAGCTGAAGATCTAAAGATTGGTGCATGAGCGAGAATGTCAGGCAATATGATTTATTTAAGTTCACCTCTATATTATTAGTATCACACCAAACTTTCAAGGCAGCAGAGAGTTTAGTCTCTAAGTTTCTCACTGCACTTTCTTTTTTAGAAACATTCCAGAAAACCAAATCATCAGTGTATAAGAGGCACTTGACTCCAGAAATCTCTAGTATTTTATAAATCAAATCATTAATATAGATGTTAAAAAGGGAGCAACTACTAACAGCTCCCCGTGGGAGACCTGTTTTTAAGATCTTAGATTTCGATAGAGCGTTGCCATACCTGACTGAAAGAGCGCTGTCACAGGAAGCCTTTAATCCAATTAAAAAATTTGCTCTAATGCCTAGCCCAGATAGTTTCAGTAGGAGGCACCCCCGCCATACTTTGTCGTAGGCGGACTTGAGGTCAATAAAAACTGCGGTCAGAACCTGTCTATTAACCAGAGAGTCCTTGACACATTGACTCAGGAGGGCAACATGTTGGTTAGTAGATGGAGCTTCTAAACCCCGCTTGCTCCTCGGCAAGAAGTCCGCAAGTTTCTAAGTGATAAATAAGTCTCACTATTATTTTCTCCATAGCCTTTCCCATAATACTAGTAAGCGATATCGGTCTATAGATACGGAGACTATCTCGATCTTTGTCCTTCTTATGTATGGGAATAATAATAGTTCGCCATTCAGCTGGTACAATACCAGTGTTCCAAATTAGATTCGATCTCCACCAGGTGATTTTCCATAAGGAACGCTTCTCAAAGCATAGGTCAATTCTTCTCGAGTAACGGGGGCCTCAAAAACTGAATCAGTAGAAAATTCAAATTCCGATTGCAGGAGTGTAGTTCTTTGCTTAATTCTGGACGAATGTATTTTTGCGTAAGTGTTTTTCTTATTAGCTCTACAGAAATGCTGTGCAAAAGCATTCGCTACAGAAGAAACTGAAGAAAGTTTTTTACCTTTAACTATGAAGGTTTGCTGAGGTGAGCCAGCAGGATCATTCATTAGGTTGCCTACAAATTTAAACGTTCTTTTACTATCAGTTTGGTAATTTATTTTTGAAATAGATTCATTAAATGAAGATCGTTTACTGGCAATAAGGGCCTTTCTAAAGTATGCAGATTGTTTTCTCCAAGCCTAAACATCGCAGGGTCGGGAGGTCAACTCTGCCTTTTTTCTAATCCTGTCTCTCTTAGCTTTCAGGGAGGTCAGTTCCATTGTAGTCTTGATAATTCTATAAACTTTATTAGGATTTAAAGTCAAGTTTATTATGATTAAGGCCATGTTCCATCAATTCATGAAGGGAAGGCCAATTCGCTTTCTTAAAATTCCAAGAGACCTTTGATGGCGAAAAGTGTCTTCGATCCACTTTCGGTATTTTAACTTCTGCAAGCACCTGTCTGTGTCCTGATCCAGATCTTTCAAGACGCTACGCTTTGTGAGATTGTAAAGGTCAGCAGTGACCATCAACAGATCTGGGGTTGTACTTTTTCCAGTATAATGCAGATAAGTATGGGGATCCTTTTTATCGTATATTAGTTCGAATGTAGTCGAGCTCAAGAGGTCCTGGACTCTCCTTCCGGCTTCATTTGTATCAGAATATCCCACATGGAAGAATGAGCATTAAAATCTAAAAAATGGAATGTTTTAAATGATTAACATAGGGAAAGTCGGGATGGTTACAAGGAGGGCTGTATACAGCTAGAATTTTAAAATGAGCTCCACATTTCCATACATCCAAATGTATGACTTCACTCCTATCTCCATCTCTTTTTATGATACGAAAATCAGCTGTTAAATCTTTCTTGACACCAATTAGTATACCACTAGCCACTTTTCTAAATTTTGTAAGTACGTGAAGAGAATATCCTTTAAAATGATAGTATTTTATGTTTTCAATAGTCAAATTAGCTTTCATGATAGTAAAGACATCAATGTCCTTTTCACACAGAATCTGCAAAAGCTCCGCGGGCTTGGATTGGGACAGTCCGCCAGCATTCCACTGTAACACTCAAAGAGTATGAATCCGAGAAGGATGAGACATAATGTCAGTTGTAGATCTTTTAGCCACTATAAAGTGTTAGCAGGTGTACCACTAGGAGGTATATCTACAGCGCACCCATCATTCTAAATTATTGATAGCAAGGTATGGTATAGTGAGAATAAAAGAAAGCTTTTAAATAATATTCTTTATGGTCAAATAAAATTGTTTCATATTTTGGCTTTTATTTTATGTTGATCTTTCTTTGACCAGATCGGTAGAGGCCATAAATATTCTTCATCCTGAAGAGCTAATGTGTCAATATGGGAATTTGCTTCTCAAGTATTCAACTTTCTCTTCTAGCTCTTGTAGGCAAAAGACATGTATTCAGTATTTAATATCCAGCCTGCTTATAATTGTTGGTATGCAAATAGTGATGGACTCTCGCCAATAGCGCGATAAACAGTGTAATCTGGACATCCTGCTAAGGAGTTAATTGTGTAACTCTCTTATTTCTTTACCCTTACTTTTCTCACTCCTACAGGATAGGACAGTGATATGACACTCTCTATTATATAACTCCCTTTCGATATCTATTCGGAATACTAACAAATCTTATTCTATTTTCATGTGTTAATAAAGCATGTGTTTCACTTACAATTTCGGTCTATAACCTTTTTTGGATTACAAGTTAATTAACTGTCATCTCGCTTGAAACCACGCTGGATACAAGGTAAAAGGAATCATTTTGCTCTCTACTTTTATTAATTTGTTGTGAAATTTCGAGGCTATAAAAATGTTTTACAACAATAATAACTGCTAGGACCATC